GGCAATGAAAGTACAGGAATAAAAGTACTTACCCTCCAGCCGGTGATTTTTTTTTTGACTTTTTATTTACTCTACTGAGCTTTCTTATTTGCTCCAGGCTGCATTTGATGAAGCATTGTTTAAATAGCACAGAGCAAAATGGATGTCAGGAGGTGGGAAAAGGAGGAGGAATTTTAACCAGGTGGTGAGGGAGGTGCCCTGCTTTAAGGTGGACAGCCGTTGGGTTTATCAATTATTTCTCCAGGATACAAAAAAAAAAAAAAAAAAAAGACAAAACCAAGTGGCTTCATGGAGAGGCGGAGGGTGTCATTTAGAGCTGTCTCTGAACATAGTCATTCAGCTCTAAATGGGTCGCCTGTAACAAGCGAGAAGTGAACTTGGGGGAGTATTGTCACCCTCTGCCTCCTCCCTAATGTACCGATGAATGGCCCTGCGGAGGGGGCGGCAGGGGAGGGGAGGAGACAGGGGCTGGCGGCCACAATTCAGAGAGACCTTCAAGGTGTGTGCCCCTCGCCCGTAATTGGAGAGGAAGCTGCCTTTCCCTCGCCTATTCCCTGCCTTTTTACTGGTTTTAACAAGCATGATGCTTTTAATAGTGCTTTGAGTACCATCTCTTTATACGCCTCTCCCTTTTTAAAGCAGCTTTAACTCTACTCTTTCTGTCGCTAATGCCTGAAAAACTTCTACCTTTAATCATTCCCAGATGAGGCGGCAAACAAGCGGCCCCCTTTCCTTTTGCAATTACGGTGGCTGTCGGCAGGGAAGGGGCTGCTGGGTGGGAGGGAGCAGGGGGGCTGCAAGTATGTGGATTGTGGGATGTGCTGCCAGGCCCGGAGAGCTTGGTGACATTACCAGGGGCCTGTTGTTAGGGGAGGGCTGGGGGTCAGTTTTAAACAGCCAAACCTGCAAGGTGGAAGACAAAAATCCTTTAGACTACTATGAACAACACACGTGGCTTTGGTTAATTAAAAAAAATTAAAATCCGCTTTCCAGTGTTCCAGGGTACCCTCAGCGCCTCCCTCTCCAACACACAGTTCCCCTCTTTCCCATTTAGAAGCCAACCCAAGTTGGGCTAAGGGGTGAGGTCCTTCTGGGAGATGAGCTTGAGGGGCTTCACATGCCCCTTCTGGGCTGGGGAGGGATTCAGGGTGGGCTGGCTCCAAGCGCAGGTTCATAAACAGAGATGGAGAAGGAGGGGTCCACCTGTGCCCCACCCCCCTCCGGACAAGCATTCACACAGCTTTTGGGTCCTTCAAAGGGGCGGCAGGGGGCAAGGCCAGGAGCTGCAGGGCTGCTGGGAAGGCTCCCTGGCTCAGTTAAGGAGACTCAGGAGCCCCTGGCCTCACAGCCCAGGACAGGTGGAAGGGGGCCAGGGAGGACCGTAGAAGGACTTATTTCCTCATCCGTCCCATTTTTGACTTCTGAACAGGGTTTCTTCTTTCTGGAACGATGTGTCAAACCAAAGTTGGGGAGATATTCCAGAGGTGAAATCCTTCCCAGAGAGAAACTCTGGGGGAATCGAGGGTGAGGGGTTTTTTCTTTAGAGCTTCGAAACATCCCTTCTCCAAAGGCATCAGCCTGGAAAGCACCCCTTTGGTCCCCTTCTCTAGCGTTAGGGTTCCAGTCCAGACTCTGGAGCAGTTGAGCTCAGCTTGTGAAACCAGTTTCCTTTTCTGTAAAATGTAGGTAAGAATAGCTCCTGCCTTCTCAGGGGGCACTTCCGAGGGTCCGTAAGGTGGTAGTGATGGGACCTCTTACTGCCTAAGGAGCCATCCATTCATATTTGACTTTGTTTTCCTCTGGGATCTAAAGGTCCATTGGATTCCTCTCAATTTTGTGGAGGATGGGGTGGGGGTTGCAGCCTGGGTCTGGGGTTTGGAACAGCAGGGCCGGGGTGCTGTGGATTTCCATGCTGTGGGTTGTGATGGTGCCAGCATCTTGACACCACCAAGCATCCACGTGCTTAACGATCACTTAGGGAAGTTTTGCTTTGCACAAAATCACAGGGGAGCAGTGAAGGCAGAGGTGGCTGGCCAGAGAAAGAGGAGACATCTCCCCCAGATCTGCCTTCCTCAGGGCCTTGAGAGCAGGCTGAACAGTGCCCCCTAAAGTTACCATGCCCTCATCCCTGGGACCCATGAATGTTACTTTTAAGGCAAAAGGGTCTTTTTTTTTTTTTTCTCCAGTTTCATTGAGATATAACATTATATAAGCTTAAGGTATACAACATCATGATTTGATAGATGTATATATTGGGCCAGGATTGCCATAAATGTAGTCAACATCCATCTCCTCACACAGCTACAAAATTTTTTTCCCTGTGATAAGAACTTTTGAGATCTACTCTTAGCAACTTTCCAATACATGATATTGTCAGCCATAGTCACCATGTTGTACATTATTACATCCCTAGAACTTATAACTGGACGTTTGTACTGTTTGACCACCTTCACCCATTTCTCCCCCCCAAGCCCCCGCCCCCATCCCCTGCTTCTGGCAACCATCCACCTGTTCTCTGTTTCTCTGAGTTTGTTTTTTAAGCGTCCTCATGTAAGTGAGATTGTACAGTATTTGTCTTTCTCTGTCTGACTTATCTCACTTAGCATCATGCCCTCGAGGTCCATCCATGTTGGCACAAATGGCAGGATTTCCTTCTTTTTTATGGCGGAATAGTATTCCTTAGTATAAATAGACCATGTTTTCTTTATTCACCCATCCACGGATGGACACCTAGGTTGCTTCTGTGTCTTGGCCATTGTCAATAATACCGTAATGAACATGGAGCTGCAGATGTCTCTTTGGGAGAGTGATTTCATTTTCTTTAGATAGACGCCCAGAAGTGGGATTGCTGGATCATACGGTCGTTTTATTTTTATTTTTTCGAGGAACCTCCATACTCTTTTCCGTAGTTGATGTACCAGTGTACGTCCCCACCAACAGTGCACAGGGATTCCCTTTTCTCCATATCCTCACCAACGTTTACGCTCTCGTCTTTTTGATGCCAGCCACCCTACCAAGTGGGAGGTGAAAAAGGATCTTTCCAGATACAATTAAGTTAAGGACAACGAGATGGGGAGATTATCTTGGATTATCAGGGTGGGCCCTCCATGCACTCACAAGTGTCTTTAGAAGAGGGGCAGAGGAGGATTTGACACAGACAGAAGAGCAGACGGCGGTGTGAAGACAGAGGCAGAGATTGGAGTGGCGTGGCCATAAACCAAGACATGCCAGGGGCCACCAGAAGCTGGCAGTGGCAGGAGACGGACTTCCTAGAGCCTCCAGAGGGAGCACAGCCCTGCTGATGCTCGGCTTTCAGCCTTCTGGCCTAGCGTTCTCTTGGGTAAGCTACCCAGTGTGTGGTCATGTATTACAGCAGACACAGGAAACTAACGCGGACATCTGGTGGGGGGTCCTATTCTGCAGATGAGGTAAGTGAGCACGTGAGGAGCGGGGGGGAAGGTTCGGTGCCAGGAAGGGCAAGGTGAGCCGGGGCTGCAGGTGTGCGACAGGCGTTCCGATACCTGTGGGATTCAGCAGTGGCGTCCCTCGGGGGCCGTGACTGTGGAGCGGGCTGCTCTCCAGCCCTCGGGCAAGGGGGTATCAGGCAGGCAGGCGTAGGTGAGCCTGGAGGGGGCGGTAAGGTGACTCTAGAGCTCTGGAGCAGCACTGTCCAGGCCAGGTTCTTGTTGGCTCAGCCATAGAGCAGGACCAAAGCTGTGAGTGGCAGGTCTTAGATCTGCCTTGGATCTTAGGTCTTCGATCTAGACCTGGGGCAGACAGGGGTGACATGCTCTCACCCCATTTAATGAAAAGAACGTATTAAAAAACAAACACAAACATGTTACTATCTCTTAGTGGGCAATTTTTCTTATGCAGAAGTGGGTATATTTTCTAATGCCGTGTACAGAAATGTTCACATAGGTCTGTTTAGTCCTGTTTCGTCCTGTTTTTATAGGTCTCATTCCTTTGCACAGTACCTTAATACTGTGGAAGAAAGTTTGTGGTTAAGGGGTGGATTGTTTCCACTGGGGCCCTGGCAAGCTCTCCTTTTTCATATTTGGATAGTGATTCTAATTCATGGCGTTGGAGTATAGAGTTCAGAAAGAGGGTTATTTCTTGATTGATTTTTTTTTGTTAATATGTATTGGGCACTCAATATGTGTTATGAGGATGGAATGAGAGGCTGTGGTGTAGGGGAGGCAAGAGACTCGCCCAAGCGGGCCGGTGGTAGTAGCACCAGGCTGTGAAGACGGCCATCCGAAGGCCAAGTTTAGCAATTAAACTCCCACGCTTTTGGAAGCCAAGGACACGAATCATTTCTGGGAGACCTAGTTGTGCAGATGGCACCTGTCCACGGCCCCGCCCTGGGCTGGTCCCTCTTCCCTGCCAGGTTTAGGACGGGCGGGTGCTTGGCACGTGGGTCCTCGAGGAGTGTTTGTTGTTTTCTGTTGAATTATCACTGGCAATTAAAGAGGCCTCCAAGCGTCCTTGCTAAATGGAATGTCTTAGAAAGGCATTTCTAAGTACAAGCAGAAGTCAAGTTGGGCAGAAATGATTTGCAGACATCAGAGGCGTGAAGCATGTTCTTTTTAGCTCCTACAGGAGAATTGTTTATTTGTTCTAGAAACAAAATAATTAAAGGGTGATGTCCATCAAATGGACATTATGGTTGATTGCACTTATGTCAAAATCCCTACAAACCTGAATCTTCATTTTCAGGGTGGAGGATAGGCAAGAGAGATGATGTTCTGCTGTTTTGGGGGGTAGCATTTTCTAGCCAAAACACACCACGCCCCGGCCTCTCCCCCAGGGCTTTTGGCCCACAGCTGGCTTCGAATCCAGGAGAGTCGCTGCTGTCCTACAATTGCAGGCAAGAGGAGCAGGGCCAGCCTGGAAGCCAGAGCCCTCTGCTCTGAGGGCGTATTTTGGTTTTGCGTTCTGCTCAGAGCACCGGATGGGGTGTGTCTGCATTTGCACGAACTGCAAAGACGAAGCGGGTCTCTGGACGGTGAGCTGTGGTCAAGGCAGCAGGGCTGTGTGATGGAGGCTCAGAGCAGGGAGACCCCAGGGCTGCCGGCCGGCTGAGTCCCGGCTGTGTGACTCAGGGTGAGTGTCTTCACGGTTCTGTGCTGCAGCTTCTACACTGGAAAATGAGAACCATCTATTACAATTACAGGGTTGTTGAGAAAGAGTAACTGGATAACCCAGAAGGGTGGCGGGCGTGCGGTAATGATATCCCCGAGGGGCTGGCCGCTGCTGTTAACTTTGGGGGAAGCCCTGTTCCCGCTACTCGGCAAGGCCCATTATCTGGAGACCATGGAAGGGGTCTTGAGGGATGATTAGGAAGGTTAAACGGGATGCTTTGTAGAAAGCACCTGGCTCATATAACTTCTTAACACACCGTCCCTTCCTTCTATCAAAGCCTCCTAGAACTTAAGGAATTTCGTGTTTTTAGCAAGTTCTTCTTTGGCTCCAAGTGAGACCTTTTAGGCTGCCATTTGAGCCCATTGAGTTTATTTACCAGGTTAGTTCACAGACATTCATCCCCCTGGGGCCTGCTCTGTGCCTACCATGGTTTCAGTTGCTATAGGGTGGGAGGTGAGATGCATCAGACTCTGTCCCTGTCCCCAAGAAATGTCCCCTCAAAGGGTTGCCAGACAAAATTCAGGGTGCCCTGTTAAGTTTGAATTTCAGATACTCAACAAATAAATGTTTTTAGTATGTCTCAAACACCATATGGGATATATACCCATACTAAAAAAAAAAAGTATTTATTGTTTATCTGAATTAAAATTTAACCAGATATCCTGAATTTTTGTTTGCTAAATCTGACAACTCAATAGCTCCCCCTCCATGAAAATGCCAAACTTGGGGTCACTGCCTATCGGTTTGAGGAATCCCTCTGACATTATTGATACCCAGGACCTGACCCTGCTCCACTGTCCCTTCCTTGGTCATGGACTCTGGGCAAGTCCTCCCCTCCCCCAGTCTCTGCCTTGGTTTCCTCTTCCATACTGGATTATCTCTTAGTGGTCCTTTCTGGTTCCCTTTCTTTGACTTTAGAGTTGGCAGAAGACATCGGGCCAGCCTGGCATTTTGGGATTGTGTAGACAAAAAAACCCAGTGGCTTGATTGTATCTTTCATTTATTCAGACTCTTGCTTTGGCTTCATGGAGACACAATCCAAGTGACTCTGACCTGCCCTTTCAGCCCCAATTCTGAGCACTTATAAGGAAAAGTCGCCTTGTAGCACAGCCCGATCCCCCAGCTGGGTCTCTAAAGGGCATGTTGAAGTCCTTTTAATTTCCAATCCATTAAAAAAATAAATCCTTGGAGGGTTTGCTTTCTACATAGCAGCTCGCTTTTTGGCTTGACAGCCGTCAAACTGAAAAACATTCCATGAATTCTCCAAGTAATTTAAAAGTTGCTCGGACTGAAATACGGGGTGATGTCTGCTTAGCTGAAAGGGTGCCATTTGTACCTGAGTAATTTAATTCGCTTGATTCCCCGCCCCGCCCCCCCAGGGAATTACTTCCCTAAGGAGAAGGAGTACATTTTCCTCAGTTATGAAATGGGTGCTCCGATCTAACTAGTGACCATTTCTAATCAGTTCCACCTTTCACTGCCCCCGTGGGAAGAGAGATCCCTTAAACCATTGCTTGTCTTTGGCAATAATTACTTTCGGATGCAAACCAAAAGTCCACTTTGGGGATGCTGTCTTTGGTAATGTATGTGTACACATATAAAATCCTTTTAGGATCTAAGCCTCCCACTCACGTATGAGTTTCCTCCTCTTCAGAGATTAAAACACTGCAGCCACTGTTCGTTTCGAGCAAACACCACAGTGCTGAGAATTCCTGTAATAGCTTTTTGGGGATTTGGAGCCAGGGGTTTTCTTAGTCATCTTGCTAACACCTTAGAAGGTACTTGGTGCCTCCCAAATGCATGCACTGAGTGCTCATGTGCTTAAATGTCTCAAGTTTCTCCTGCTGCCCTAAGTTAAGGCCCTGTTAGCTTTGTTTCCTCTCTTCTCTATCTCTCTCCTCCCTTTCTCCTTTTTCTTTCTCTCGTCTAGTTCTTTCCTGGATTCAAACTTGTTAGTCTCAATAAAAGGGCTTGATGTCTGCCATCAGGAAAGCTTACTTCCATTTTTCCCTCCAGAAAAATGGAACAGGTTTCTTTAACTAGTGCAAGGCTCTCCTCTCTAAAAGGTTTTTATTATTGAGTGCCCGGGGTCCTTAGTTTCAGACATTTATCTTCTAGCTAAGCAGGAACAAAAGAGGGAGGCAGCCTTCTGCACCTTCTGTACCCTGAGTTTTCTGAGTAATCACCCAGCGGTTAAATTGAAGTGGCCACAACATCATCTTCATTGTGTCACTTTGGGCTTGCTCGTTAATTTATGAGCTTCAACTGTCAAAATAGTTTGTGCAACGAACCCTAAAAATGGTGATGAATCATATCAGTCAAATGGGTTTTACAGGCCTGGTTTCCTTCACAGCGGGCCTGCCTGCGTCTACAGCATGTTAGGAGGAAAGCCACATACACAGCGGAGGTGCCCCAGATGAGTGCATAATACAAAAAAATGCACCTCTTCGTGCAGGGCTCTAGGATGCTTAAAGTGCCACCAATGCTCCACTCCCTCGGTCCACAGGGTGACAGCCAGAAGCTCTTAGGCCTGTTGGGAGGGATGTCCTCATGGTGGAGTGCCATGTTAGTTCAAGTGTACTGACTCCCCTTGCTATAACTAGGTGGTGCCAAAATGGCGTCCTTCAGAGCCCTTTGGACAAGCAACGTGGGGATGAGGTATGGAAGACGCGGGGCGAAATTCAGCTCTAATGAGACAGAAATTTTTTCTTTTAATCTTTATGATTATAGAACCTGAGTAGATACTCAGTAATTCATAAAACCTGTTTCCAGATTTGAAGTGCCTTCAGATACTGGCCTACTTTCCTAAAGCAGATTTGTCAGAGGCGGGCCACTTAAAATGTGGGGGTTTCTGTGTTCCTTCTGGATTCTAGGACCTAGCTAGGGCCTCTTTATTAGGGAGATTTTTTTTTTTCACCTTTTAAAAAAATCACAAACACGAGTTCATTAATGAGAAACTTGAAAACATATGGAGAAGAAGGGAGAAGAGAAAAACCCTTCCTTTCGATCCAGGGCCAACCTCTGCTAGCGTGAGTTGTATTTTCTGCCTTCTGTGCATGTGATTTTACATATTTGAGACAATCTGTCTCTACCATTTTGTTTCTTTTAAAATAACTCTCCATGCATTTTAATTGTTCTGTGTTCGATCCCATTGTTGGTATATACCCTTGTTTATTTGGTCACTTCTTTTGTGTTGATTGTTTTTCTAGTTTATCACCATTTGTTGTTATCAACAAGAGGCCAGGCTGAGAGGCTTTCTGAAACAGTCCCAAGCTTAATGATCTCCTGAACTGGACACTTCCCTCCAGATGTCTTCTCTCATTCCAAGAGCATCCTGAAGCCCCAGTGCCCTCTGGATATGAACTCTCACCGGGGTGCCCTTTCCTAACCTTCTTTATGCAGCTCATGAACTCCTATTCATCCTTCAAGGCCCGGCTAAAGCAGTCCCCTCCTCTGTAAATCCTGGGTTCTTCCTCTCCATGGAGTTGGCCCCACCCTTCTTTGTGTTGGCCTCCATGTTAGCCCATCAGTGAGGTCACCGAATGGTATTTAGCTGCCTCTCTGGTTTCCCTCTGTCCGTGTCATCTGTTTTGGTGATGCTGGCTACACGCAGCAGCCCAGGACCACCTGGCTTGCACGGACTCTCCGGTTTTCTGAACTATGCCTGGTATGCTCACAGAAAAGCCAGTCATTTAGAAGGTAGAGCTCAGGGGTTTGTAGGACTGGGGTGAAACAACACCAAAAAAAAAAAAAAAAAAAAAAAAAAATCCACAAAAAACCAAAACCCTCCCAAAAAATCCCCCAACCTTTTCAAGCTCCCAGGACTCTTCCTTGATTTCTACTTCGGGTGTGAAGACATTTCCCCAGATGTCCCTGTTGTTGATAGCTGCTGTCAGAGTTCATGATGGCATTTGTACTGAAAACTCCTAATTTGATATTTCTCTAGTGAATTTAATGAATACGAAAAAGTGTCATTTAGACCTAGTTTTCTCTTTGTGCTTTGAAAAATGAAATGCACGTAGTTATCTGTAAATGAGATAATTACCTTCCTACTTTGCTAAAGGCACCTACTAGTGATTTTTTAGCTTGTCTCACTTAATGAAAGCTTTATAAAATGGGGGCCCAGAGCTGTTAACAGGGTTGTTGTAATAGGCTCTGAGAAAGGCAAATAGAAACCAGTTGTTCCAAACCAGTCACAGAAATAGCCTAGTGAATTGGCTGGCAGCTCAGACATAAATTTAAGTCTTGGTTGCGTTTAGAGCAAATGTAATAATAGCTGCAACCAATATTTTTAATATTACTGATCTTTCAGCAATAATTACCTAGAACTTTTAATGTCTGCAATTAGAACGCTAGCAATTCAGTGGTACAGACCAGTGGTAAACTGCACGAAATTGGATACTTGCTGTAATTGGTAATTAATCACTTTTCATTACCAGGAAGGGATGTTGTAGTTACTCTGAATAGATACATCATGCTAATTACAGGCAAACACAAACCTACATATTTGAATGTAGAGCTTTTAGGAAAATAAGCAACTCATGCCAATATTCTATGGCTGAGAGGAGATTAGTCCACCCAATTAAAATGATGAAGAAGGGGCCGTGTCTATTTTGACAAGACCCTTCAACCCCAAAGAGTTCCCCCTTTTCCTAAGGGCCTCGATCGCATTTCCATTCACTTCTGCGGGGTAATTTAAATTCCCGTCCTTTATGCAGATTTCAAAATGGTTCCAAATAAATATTTACATGTGTGTGTCTCCCTGGGTCAGCTGGCAGGGTCATAGAGCTCCATCTCCCGTCTCTGTCTGCCTAAGCGGCGCGGCCACATCCCCTGCCCAGACCTTTCTCTCAAGCCCAGGTCTCTCCCAGGATGTCCACCCACATCACGTCTCTGCTGCCACCTTCATCCCTTCGGTGGGGGCCTGTACTATGAGTGGGTCCATTATTTTGCCGGACTTGAGACTTCAGCAGTTTTTCCGATCTTCCCACCACCTTGCCCCAAACCTCCCTCATCCGTCACGGGGCCCTGTCACTCCTCCCTTCACAGCCTTTCCTGCCTTTGCAGCAACCCCCCAGCCCCCCACCCCCCGCTTCTTCTCACCACAGCTGCTCATCCCGGGGCTCCCTGTTCTCATCACAATTGCATCCCAGGAAAATGCAGCCTGTGGAAAAGGAACTGAGAATGCTCTGTGTTCTCAGCGTTCTTCTTTAGACAGTGAAGAGGGAATGAAGTCTTGACTGCTTGCTTTTGTGAATGTTGTTGTCCTTGATATGCCTACTCTCTCCTAGCCAAAGTTGCCTATGACCTGCCCACAATATCATTCCAAAATTGGGTCATGGTGGAGAAATGGGTCCTATGTAAGTCAATAGGCTACTTAGAGGCAAAGTGGTGTGTGCGGAAGCCAACCCAAGCCACAGGCCCCACCCCTCTCACGTGGACCTCTGTGGCTCTCTGGAGACTCTTACCTCTTCTTTCAGCATCAGGAGACTTTAAAAAGGTGTCTCTGAGCCAAGGCAGTCCCAGTGCTGCTCCAGCTGCCAGATCCCACACACCTGGCACTGTAGGGCTGGCGTTGGGTTGGATGCTGAGAATTCTTTGCCTTTCTCGTGGCAGTAGAAAGACCATTCCTCATGGGCACGTGAACAGAAGGAGGGGAGGTCTGGACTTAGCCTGCCCTTGACCTAAGTGGTGGGCACCTCACCGTTTCTGCCCTGGCGGCCAGTTGCCTTCAGTGACAGGTCCATCCAAGGCACACTGGCACCAGATTTATACACGGATTGAGATTTTAAAAAAATTATGCGTGAAATGAATAGCCATCCTGATAAAGCACCAACTTCTTATTCTATTTCCTCCTCAACATGACCCATGACGTGGAGCTTCTTTAGCCAGATTTCATTTTGTTCCCTATTCCACCATCACCAGCACCCCTGAATTGGTTCCTCACCCAAGAGCGCCATTTCAGCCGTGGTCTCTCTCTTCTGCCTTTGTCACAGAGCTGAGTAATGATGTGACAACATGTGATTGGGTGATTGATGTCAAATGTTAGCAGTAACATTCATTTTCCCCTGAAATGGACAAAGAAGAGTATTAGTCATTTAGAAATTTCGTCTAGAAGCTACACCTCACGAGTGATATTCCAAAATTGAATTGGTCTGAAATTTAAAGTGGCTTTTAAGCTCCTCTCCTCTGATTGCTCCTCAGGTCACGCAGAGTTGTAAAAGGCCGAGGGAGCAAGTTAGCGATGGGAACTGCAAATGTCATTTGTTAGCTCCCTGGCTCCTCTGCAGAACCCCGTTCCTCCAGTGACAGGGGGCTCCTGAGACCTAGTGTCGCATGGACAAAAATCTGTGGGCTTTGGAGATGGGCAGATCTGGGCTCCAGGCTCGCCTCTACCACTTAGTGCTTACTCCATGAGCCTCAGTTTCCTCGTCTGTGAAATGAGGTTGATAATACTGATTATTATCAGCATCATTTGGCAGAAATAAGAAATGAATAAGGTGAATAAGGGGTCCAAGTTAGAGAGGGAGTGTGGGGTAGAGTGCAGCCCTCTCTGGGGCCATTGATTCCCCAGCTCCTGCTCTCGGCTTTGTTCTGCCCTCCAGCCTCCCCAGGAGGGCCCTGGGCTTTTCATACACTCTGCAGCTGGCTGTGGTCCCTCCAGCCAAGACCGACCGATGTGTGTCTGTGCCGGACTCGGGTTCAGAGATAGGGTTCTCCTACTATCCCCCAGAGGTCTTTCCAGTAGAAGCCAGCATGGCTCTGGATCTCTGCAATCAGCATGTTTCAAGACAAAGAAATATGTAGCAGGCTGTGCTAGTTATTTAACATCTGGGAAGGCTCTTGCTCACTCTGAGCCCTCTGTGCGCTCCGAAGGTACTGATCTCAGCGTTAGAAATGGCTTCCACCTACGGCTCTGATTCATGGCCTGGTTAGGATTGTGATTCATAGCCTGCTAAGAAGCCGGTAGCAGGCAGGTATGTTACCTAGAAGCTGTGCCTACGAATAAGACCACCAACGTGATGCGGCCAGATAACGCTGATGAGCTCATTGCCACCTTCAGCTAAAAGGTCCAAACCTCATTTGCAAGTGAATGTTAATAAGGAGGAAAAGCTTGGTGCAGGCTGGACCAGAATTCAATGGCATGACTAGTTCTTCCTCGGTTAAGTAAGATAATTTGTTCAATTTGTTTTATGTCAGTAAGTGAAGAACCCTTTACTCACTTTGATTCATGGAAGGAGGTTAGACAATGGTACAGTAGAAAGGAAATTAACATTTAACCTGCCTGCCTGAGTTTTCTAACGGATGTCTCAATATGACTGTGGTGGTGTGCGTAAATTCTCCTGATAAACAGAATGAAACAGCAGCTATTAAATCCCAAAGAAAACCCGGATGGCAGATCCTGTAATCCAAAGTGAGACCAGTGGATGTTGGATCAGGAACTGAAAGACCCGAATCATCTCGTCAATTACCTGCCCCATGACTTTGAGCTGCCAGCTCCCGCAGCCTCAGTTCTTGCATCAGTAAAATGGTGATGGTGATGCGGACTGCAAAAGGATGCTGTGAATTTATAAAGTACAACAGCCAACCTGTCAATTAATTGATCCAACAACTATGTGTCCGCTAGGTCCCAGGTGTTGTGACCGTTGCCAGAAGCACAGGGGTGAACAGAATTGTCAGGGCCCCTGGCTTAAGGGAGATTACAGTCTGATGAGGGATCCTTTAAAATCTTTTATTATGAAAATGTTTAAACCTTCACAGAAGTGGGCAGAATATTATAATGAACTACCCCTCACTCAGATTCAAGCATTAATGAGATTTTTTTCCCACGTTTGCTTTGCCTCTCCACCACATTTTTTGCTGGATTGTTTTTTTTTTTTTTTAATTTTTAAAATTTTTAAAAAAGATTTTATTTGAGAGAGAGAGAGCATGAGTGGAGGTTGGGGGGGCAGGCAAAGGAAGAGGGAGAAGTCGACTTTTCACCAAGTAGGGAGCCTGATGCGAGGCCGATCCCAGGACCCCGAGATCATGATCTAAGCAGAAGGCAGGTGCTTAACTGACTGAGCCACCCAGGCTCCTCTGCTGGATTGTTTTAAAACAAGTCACAGACATTGTGTTTGTTTTCAGTTGCTGTATAACTAATTACCATAGATGTAGCTGCTGAAACAACACACATTTGTTATGTCACCATTGCTGTGGTTCAGGACCTTGGGCACAATTTAGCTGGATCCTCCGCTCAGGTTTCACAGAGCGGCAGTCCAGATGTTGATCAGGACTGGGGTCTCATCCAAGCTCACATGGTTGTTGGCAGAATTCACTTCCTTGTGGTTGTAGGACTGAGGCCCTCGGCTCCTAAGGCCACCCTCTCCATAGGCAGCAGACAGCCTGGCTATTTACTTCTCCTTTGAGGCCAGCAGGGAAATCTCGCTGACATTTTAACCCTCTTCTAGGGGCTCACCTGATTAGGTCGGGCCCACCCAGGGTAATTCCCTTTTTGATTCACTTGAAGTCAGCTGATTAGTAACCTGTCATGGGAATGCTATCCCATCATAGTCACAGGTCTCATCCCCAGTCAGGGGGAGGGGATTATTCAGAGTGGGTACACCAGGGAGTGTGAATCTTGGGAGCCATTGTAGCATTTTGCCTACCATGGACATTTTATTCCTACCATCTTAAATATGCATTTCTACAAATTATGGGCATATTCATGAATAACTACAATTTCATGTTAATATTTGATCGGGATTGTTATGTTAGCTTAGGATATATCAGTCAGCTTAGGATAAGTCGTAACAAATGACCTTCAAATCCCAGGGGCTTCTAACCACAAAGGTTTCTTTTTTGGCTCATGTTCCACACCCCACATGGATTGGCCTCACTCTTTACCCTCAGACCCAGGTTGAAGAAGGAGCCCATTTCTTGGGAAAGAGATGGAGGAAAACGCAAAGGCTCTTCAAGCGTCAGCTGGGGAGTTGCCATGTTGTTGTTTCTTACCTCTTGTTTGTTCATCCTGCTCTCAGGGGCCCGGGAAGCCCAGTCTTTCCTCAGGGAGGGGCCTGATAGAAAGGGTCAGCCTCAGGAGACTGGGTGTATAGCTTTAAGCAAATGATAGAATATTCCAGTTATCTTTTATTCTAGAATACTCTCGTCCACCTACCTTTTTCCGCAAGCCATTGACTTGTTAGAGAAATTGATCAGTTGGTCCATAGAATGTTCTACATTCTGGTTTTGTCTGCCTTCTTGTGATGTCATTTCACTCGTGCCTTTATGCCCTAGATTTCCTGTAAGCTAGGTTTAGCTCTAATTAATTTATTTTGGGTGGTATTTGGTTCTTCATGTTTTATGATGTCAAAAAGCATGTGATATTTGGTGAGAAAATCCTTCAAAAACTTCATATTTTAAAGGTGTGAGATTCTTACTCTTACCTCCTTATATCCATTTATCAGACATTTGTCATTGATTAGGTCCTGTGCCAAGCCTGGAGATATGACAAGGTAAGTAAGAGAAAGTCCCTGTCTCAAGGATCTCGTGGTTCATTTGGAAGGGACAGATTTCAAGTGCAATGAGAGTAATTGTGTAAGAAAAAGAAATAAAAGGTATCCAAATAGGAAAGGAAGGAGTAAAAATAGTCTCTATTTGAAGATGATATAATCTTGTATATAGAGAATGATAAGGAATCCACAAAATTGTCTTTATGTACACCGGCAATGAACAATCCAAAAATGAAATTAAGAAAATAAGTCCATCTACTTATAGCATCAAAAATTATAAAGTTCTCAGGAATAAATTCATCAAAAGAATTGTAAGTCATGTATACTGAAAACTACAAATATCACTGACAGAAATTAAAGAAGACTTAAATAAATGGAAGGACATCTGTGTTCATGGGTCACAAGACTTACTGTTGTTAAAATGGTAATACCCTCTAAATTGACCTATAGATTAAACACAATCTAAATCAAAATCCCAGCTGGCTTTTTTTGTAGAAATTGACACGCTGGTCTGAAAATTCATATGGAATTGCAAGAGATGCAGGATAGCTAAAAAAGTCCTGAAAAAAGAAAAAAAAAATTTAAGGGCTCATACTTCATGACTTCAAAATTTACTCTAAAGCAGTAGTATTCAAGGGAGTAAGGTGCTGACATAATGACAGACATACAGATAAATGAACTAGAATTGAGAATCCAGAAATAAACTCATACAGTCATAGTTAGTTAACTTTTGACAAGAGTGCCAAGACCATTCCATAGGGCAAGAGGTTTTTTTAACAAATGGTGCTGGGACACCTGGATATCTACATGCAAGAGAATAAAGTTGGATTCCTACCTCACACCATATACAAAAGTAACTTAAAATGGATGAAAGGCCTAAATGTAAGAGATAAAACTTATAAAACTCTTAGGAGAAAACATAGGTACAGGTATTTGTGACCTTGGATTAAGCAACGGTTTTTTCCTTTTTTTATAAAAGATTTTATTTGTTTGAGAGAGAGAGAGAGAGAAAGAATGAGTTGCGGGAGGGGCAGAGGGAGAAGCAGACTCCCTGCTGAGTGGGGAGCTGGACGTGGGACTTGATCCAAGGCCCCTAGGATCATGACATGAGCCAAAGGCAGATGCTTAACTGACTGAGCCATCCAGGCACCCAAGCAATGGTTTCTTAGATATGAAACCCAAAGCCCTAAGGAATCCAAGAAAAAATTAATTGGACCCCATCAAAATCAGAAACTTTTGTGCTTCAAAGGACCCTATTAAAAAAAGGGAAAAAACAGCCCATAGAATGGGAAAAGATACTTGCAAATTGTATGTCTGATAAGGGCCTAGCGTCAAGAATATATAGAGGAAGAGGACTCCTACAGCTCAGCAACAAAAATCCAAACAACCTGATTAAAAAATGGGTGAAGAACTTGAACAGATATTTCCCCAAAAGGAGATATACATAATGGCCAGCAAGCACATGGGAAGATGTTCAAATGCACTAATCATTAGAGAAATTCAGACCCAAACCACAGTGAGATATCACCTCACCCCCATTAGAATGGCTACTATAAGAAAAACCCGAGAAAACAACAAGTGTTGACAAGGCTATGGACAAACTGGAAGTCATGTACACTGTTGGGTGAGAATATAAGATGATGCGGCTGCTTTGGAAAACAGTGTGACAGTGTCTCAAATGTTAAACGTAGAGCTACTCTATGATCCAGCAATTCCCCCTGAGGTACATACCCAAGAGAACTGAAAGCATACATCCACATAAAAATGTGTTCGTGGGTGGTCATAGCAACATTATTCATAATGGCCAAAAAGTGGAAACAACTCACATATCCATCAACCGACAAATGGATAAGCAAAATATGGTATATCCATACAACGGATGGTTCTTTGGCAATAAGAAGGAATGAGCAACTGCCACACGCTACAACGTGGATGAACCTTGAAAACGTGATGCTAAGTAAAAGAAGTTAGTTACGAAAAGCCACATAGGGTATGATTCCATTTATACGAACTGTCCAGCAAATCCATAAAGATAAGAAAGTAGATTTGCGGTTGCCAGGTGCTGGTGGGAGAAGAGGAGTGGGGGGTGACTGCTAATGGGTGCAATGTTTCTTTTCAGGGTGAGGAAAATCTTTGGGAATTGGTAATAATTTTTATACAACTTTGTGAAAATAGGTGGCTGCCAAGTGACAATTCAATCCACAAGGGACAGGAACTGACTCTGCCTGGAGGTCCGGGGCGGGGTTGGGGGGGGTGGGGGCGGTGTCAAATAGAGGCAACCCTAGAGGAAACCCACCAAAGATGGGGAGGAGTTCAGGGAGCCAGGCAGCAGAGACGGGCTACAGGATCCTGATCAATGAATGTATTCAGTAAGCACTTGGGCTCTGCTAAGTTGCATGATCGGGAGCTGTGGGGGGCCGGAGCTGCATGGTCAGCCCGGAGGCCCCCATTCCCTCTTGAACCAGAGCAACTCTGCAAGCAACTGTGAAACAGGGGGGACCTCTAGATAAGACTGTGGGCACAAGGAATTCTGTGATGGAAAACAACCTGGAGTGAACAATCCTCAGTGTTGTTACTTGCCTCATTAGCATATTAGTGAATCCACATTTAATAATGAGGAAGATGGTGACATTGGCAATGACCATCCTCCACAATTACAGCTGCCATTCAGGGGGCACTGAATCTGTGTCGAGCCCCATTCTAGGCACGTTATAGTCACCATCTCATTTACTTTTCGCACAAACCCTGATGCAGTGAGTGGTCTTATCCTCACTTTGCAGATGGGGAGGCAGGCTCACAGAGCTATCTTGACCTAGTTCGCACAGTTGGGGCGTTGATCTGGGAGGTGAGCTCAGACCTCATTGTCTTCTGCCCTTGCTCTTTGAACAGTGCTTTACAGGATGCAAAGCCCTTCGTAAGCTCTACCTCTGTTGATAGCAGCAGCAGCCCTGTGAAAGAGACCTGCATTGTTATTCCCATTCTACTGTTGATAGGTTGAGGCTCTTCCTTAGTCCAGGCTGCAGAAGACTGAAGTGGAAGGGATGCCCCGGGTGACAGTGAATCTGCCTACCAGCTGCAGAGGGGCCCACCAGAGCATGGAGGTTTGGCCAGTGCTCAGTGTGGTCAGCCCCCCTTGGCCGTCCTTCTCAGTATACATGAGATGCTCAAACTATGATGTTTTATTCTAATGACAAAGGGTATAACAAGCACAGGAAATGGCCTGGCATTAATCTCCACTCCATCTTGTGGCAGTGACTGCAATGAAAATGAGAAATAGTTTAAGCTTAACCCATTCTCATTACAATCATAATTACATTTTGTGGTCATTCTTAGTTTCTAGCAGAACCCAACTGCTCTTCATGTCAATTTGAAAGATACAGACAGCCCTTAATTTTTCTCCAGCATTCATCTGCCCAGCCATCTGCTGAGGACTGATCTTTGGGAAGCTGAAAATTAGGCTTAAGGAACTTATCTGTTTTATGTTTTAAATGGTTTGGCACGGGCCTGCTAAACATCTGGATAAATGCAATTTACATGCATGTGCCTCGAAAACATTAAACTGGGCAGCTGATTTATCTTTCTAATAATATGTTTAATAGAATACCCAAATTTGGGCTCTGATGATACAGCTGATGACACTGACAGCTAACCAGGAAGCATGCTGGGTGACAGGAAGGGAGGAGCTGGAGACCAAAGGACAGTCTCCCCAGTTCTTAGGCTATCACTGATCCCTGGGGTACTGAGTGGTATGTCCCTACATACATGATGCACCAGTGGTATTCTCTAGAATAACTACACAGTACGCAGGTCTGCGGCATTCTTTTGTGGCTGTTATATAACAAATCCATTTTCCAGTATCTTTCCCGATGGTTCTTTCATTCTTTTTGTGCATATTAATTGAGCACCTGTGATGTGCTAGGTGTTGGCCAGGAGCTGGGACACAAAGACTAGCGAAGCTGAGACCCTGCTTTCAGAGGGCTACTTCTGGTGGTTAATTGGAGAAGACAACACAGCACAGAAATCTATGTATGGGGTGCAGAGGAGAACCCAACCCCTATCCAGCTCCTGGGGTAGAGGGTGGGTAGGGATGGCTGGGCAGCAGCCCAGCTTGGCCTCAGCTGGTTATGGGACAGTGGATAAATCACCTGGCATCTCTGGGCCTCAGCATTTTTTGTCTTTATAGATTTCTACTTGGGGTGTTGAGACTAAAAGTGGATAATGTGGATGAAATGCTTAGTAGAGGGCCTGGTGTCTACGAAGCACTCACTAAGTAGTGGGTAGGGCTTTACTAGGAGCATCACAGGAAGTACATTCCAGGGTGAGGGCTTAGCCAGTGCTTAGACCCAGCACTCTGAGAGAACACTTAAGCACAGCTGGGCCCTGGAGAGGGAAGCGGCAGTAGAGTCCGTATCCTGGAGCGTCCTGTGTGCCAGGCTAAGGAAACTGGATGTTGTCCCAAAGCCATGTAGCCGGGGAGACAGGAGAGATGATCAGATTTGCACTTTAAAAACATTATTCTGGCTAGTGAGTGGAGAATAAATCCCCCAAACTGGGAGCAAGACTAGGAGCAGGGAGGTTATGGCAACAATTCCAAAGGAAATCTTGATGATGGTGTGTTTTAATGGATTTCATTGTATCGTGCATGATATTTTGCACAGTTGTGCTTAAGTGAGCTTTTGGAGAATGTGGATTCTTGACTGGATGATTTCAGAATGTTTCCCATCAG